TTAATTTATGTTGTTATGATGAAAACACCCTGACAACAAGCAATCTGGGGAGAGAAAATTGTAGCTCACAATTCCAGGTCACAGTCCTCGCTGTGGGGAAGCTTCAGGGGCAGACTTGTTCAGTCACTGTCAAGAACAGAAAGAAATGAATGCATGCCTTCTTGGGGCTCAGCTACCTCTCCTCATACAGTTCAGAGCACAACGGCGCTGTCCATATTCAGGGTGGGTTTTCCTATCTCCATTAACCCAATTAAGAAAGATTCCTCATAGGCATGCCCACAAGAGCCAGTCTGATCTTGGACTGTCACTGGGACCCTCTTTCCAGGTGGTTCTTGGTTGTGTCAAGCTGACAATTAAAATTAACCACTGCTGTGAATGAGAGGGTGCCTCTGTGCAACCTGGTATCAAACTTCTAAGAGAAAAAGAGCCGAGGAAAAAAATAAGCAAGCCTAAGTCGATGTGATACATTCACAGAGAAGCAGTCAAGAGTGGCATTAACAGATGCCCAGCTACACCATGATGCTCATGTGTGCTGGAGTCAGGGGTACCTTGCAGCTGATGCTTTCTTCTCCTGGACACAGGCGTTATAATGAACAGTGAGCTGGAGACAAACTGGGCAGGTTACAGAGATGCAACCAGGGACTGGATAGACCACGGACCAAAAGATGGCTGGAGCCGTGAGGGCTCCGTAAATGGAGGCCGAAGTGGGACAGGAACCTGAATACGCTAGGAGATGGAGACTAGTCAGAGAAAGAACCATCTCCACCACTGCCTCAGTCAGTAATCAGAGACCATATAAGTATTCTGAACAGTTGCCCCAGCAAGCATGGGTAAATCTAGCAGCCAGGAAAAGACACCTAGTCACAAAGGTAAATCAAACTAGCTAGACCCTTCCACACCCTTCAGAGCCCCAGTCACACAGAATTCCACATGGAAAGTATGACACACACAATACCAGAGATGAGTCAGTAACTGGCCGTGAGGGGTGTGGGGTTCAGACAAGGGAATTCTGGAAGGAACATGAGTCCCACACAGCAGGAAGAACACAATGACTTAAACTGTCTGAGTAACTGAAATTAACATGCCTCCATCAACAGAAACACACACACACACACACACACACACACACACACATGACATTCAAAAGAGGAGAAACCATATCCATCTAAGTTGGAAGGTGTACTAACAGTATCTCCTGCTATATCTTATCTTTCATTGTAGTTTTATTGGTACTTTTCTATTTCACTGATTCTAGTTTTCTTTCTGTTGCTGACAGAAAGAACACTAAGGGAAAAAGGGAGTTTGTTCAGCTTACAAATCCAGGTCATGGTCCATCACTATGGGAAAAGGCCAGGCCAGAATGTGAAGCAGCCAGCCTCCGCCACAGTCAAGAGCAGGGAGAATGAAAGCCTCTGTGTCCCCTGTGCGCAGCTCGTCCTCCACTTACACAGTCCAGGATTCCCAAACGCAGTGGGCCGGGTCTTCTCACCTCAATACAGTCGAGACAACCCCCCCAGACATGCCACATGCCAGTCTGACTTAGACAAGCCCTCACTGAGAGTCTCTTCCCAGGAGGTTCTAGACTGGGTCGGGTTGATGATTAAAACCACCATACTTGTTCTGTTTTGGCTTACACCTTGTCTGAACATAACTTCCAGGGCTTGTCCATCACATGGCTTTTCTGAGTACCCTTTGTTTCTCTGTACCTACATTTCCTCTACTATTTATCATGTTTCTAACCCACATATTAACACTCTCCCACCTCTAGGCCATACGTTAACACTTTCCCTCTATTTATATTTTATCCTCTCATTCCCCCTTTCCCAACTCTCATTTTACCACTTAATTACTAATACTCCAGCTTAAAAATATTAAGCACTATTAACAACCTATTTCCCAAACAGTTCCCCAGAGATTCTGTTTCCGAAGCAAGTTAACAGAGTACCGTCAAATCATTATATCTGTTACTGGTTGCTTACATTCACAGACAGCTTAAGTAACTAATATCTTAGCATATACAGCACTGTGTGTGAGCCTTCACTCCCACTTTGTGTTAAAGGAGTGACTTTTTAAAAATTGACTATTACTATATTTCTATCTCCATCAGTCATGGTTGTTTCTGAAGACAGCATTGTACCCTGCATACCCAGTGGTCTTAACTACTGAGATATACCCGCAGTCCAATGGAGATGTTTAGATGGGTCTGCACAAAATCTGTAGATTGCCTTTGCTAGCATACCCATTTTCACTGTTGATTCTGCCAACCCATGAGAATGCGAGATGTTTCTACCTTTTAGCTTCGTTTTCAGTTTCTTCAGTGTTTTAAAATGTGTGCTGGAGAAGTCTTTTGTTTTCCTGGTTAGATCTATCTGAGTTTTGTGTTAATTCTCTGGTTTCAAGGCCAGCATGACTGGGACTGCTTTCCTGACTTCTTTCTGAGCATGTCCACTAGAGGGGAATTACTGATCCTTGTCTTTTTTTTTTTTTTTTTTTTTTTTGGTTTTTACGAGACAGGGTTTCTCTGTATTGTTTTGGAGGCTGTCCTGGAACTCGTTCTGTAGACCAGGCTGGCCTCGAACTCACAGAGATCCGCCTGCCTCTGCCTCCCGTGTGCCACCACCGCCCGGCAATCCTTGTCCTTTGATTATATATCCTGCTAATTTGCTGAATGACTGTCATTTTTAAGAGTTTCTGAGTCTTTAAGGTCTCTTATGATCTACAAATTAGCATAATTTGACTTGTTTCCTATTTGTATCCCTTTCAGTTCTTTCTCTAAGCTTTAAATGACCACACTGAGTAAGAGGAGAGAATGTGAATATGTAACTTTTTGGGTATATACCTAAAGGACTCCAAATTAACATACCACAGAAATACCTACATGCGATGGCTATTCTTGGTTGTCAACCTGAACATGTCTAGAGTTAACTAAAATAAAAAATGGAGGGCCCATCTGCGAGGGATTTCTGTTTACTTGACAGTAGGAAGATCCACTTCTAATCCAGATCTTAAATCAGGCACAGGCACAGGCACATGTACATGTACACACACACACCACACACACACACCTTTAATCTAGGCCACACCTTCTACTGGAAACCCATATAAGGACATGAAGGAAGGAAGCCTTTCTCTTTGCCTGCTTGCCCTCTTCTTGCTAGCAAGTGCATTCCTTCACTTGCATTAGTGCCTACTTGTTCAGGAATCCAGTATCAACTGAAGACCAGCTGAGACATTCAGCCTTGTGGACTCAGCAACTTCTAGATTCTTAAGACAGTTAGCCATTGTTGGATTAGTTGGACCACAGCCAGTAAATCATTCTAATATTAAGGGGGGAGAGCCATTCATTCTATAAGTTGTTACTCTAGAGAACCCTGACTAATAGACTAAGTGTAATGTTTCTTGCAGCACTATTTACAATCACAGAGTTATGCCACTGCCCTACATGTCCACCAAGAGAACAATGGACAAAGAAAAGAAAATGTGTATAACATATGTTACTGGTAAATACACAACCCCCCCAAAGTCTTAAGAGCTTTTGACTTGTTTGTAAAACCGAGGAATAAACAACCACACACAGCCACACAAATTTAGAACAATAGGCAAAAGTCATGAAAAATGCTTCCTGAGGATATGATAAACAAATGTCCCTTAATACAGGACATGATGCTCAGCTTCTGCAATAGTTTTATTCTGCCATGAAAGAATAAAATTATGTTGTCAGCTAGAAAATGGGTACAACTAGAGACTACTCCATTACAAGAAAGCAGTCAGACATAGAAGGCACAGGTCTTTAATCCCAGCACTCGGGAGGCAGAGGCAGGCGGAGCTCTGTGAGTTCGAGACCAGCCTAGTCTACAAGAGTTAGTTCCAGGACATCCTCCAAAGCCACACAGGGAAACCCTGTCTCGAAAAAACTAAAAACCAAAACAAAAAACAGAAAGACTAATTTTCTCTTATTTGAAGATCTAATAATTCCTTAGATGCATAACCTCCCAACACACACACACACACACACACACACACACACACACACACACACAGTGAACAATAGCAAAAAGAATATTAAGAGAAGGAAGGAGATGAAGGTGAGATGGGTAGCCGTGAAGCTATAGGAAAGGAACGGAAAAACAGTAAATATGGTCAAAGTATAGAATTCACTTGAAAGAAATTATCTTTATGAAACCCAGCATAACGTATAATGAATCAACATCAGTAGGGGAAAAATGGTAGCAAGCATGTGAGGAAAGAGAATCCTTTGTCACTGCTGGTGAAAATGCAAACTGGGACAGCCACCACAGAAAGAAGCACAGACTTCTTAAAGCCTGAAACTAGAATTACCGCATGACTGGGCTATAGAGCTCCTGGGTCCTCCAGAGATGCTTGCACATCCCTGTTTACTGCTCACTACTAGCAATACTTAAGAAATGGAACTAGCCTAGATGTCCATCACAAGATGAACGCACAAAGAAAATTTAACACACAATGGAATTTTATTCAGCCATAGAGAAAAATGAAATAGTGGCATTTGCAGGAAACAAATGGAACTCCATGCTAAGTGAAATATGACAAACTCAGAACAACAAATTCTCTCAAATATGGAACTCAGATTTTTTATGTGGGGGTGGGGGCTACATACAGGTCATAAAAACTGGAAAAAGAACCATGAGAGAGAATGAAGAAATCCTAAGCACAGAAGAGAGGAATTAAGAAGAGAAAGTTAAAGAATATGTGTGACATAAAAGCAGATGGTGGTTGTTAGGTGAGGAAGAGAACCAGCAAGAGGGCACAGGGAAGATAAGGAAAGAGGACAAAATGTGCGTGAAAATCCTAGAATGAAGCCCATTATTCTGTATAACAAATTTTTCTTAAAATTTTAAAGCTTTTCTTTTGAATAATGAGAAGCAAAGGTGTGTTTAAATACAACACACAATCTATCTTAATTACATTGTTCTTATTTTAGTTTTGTGAATGTCTACTAGAAATATTAGCTTTCACGTTACCAGAAGTGTTGGGATTTACTGAAGACATCACAGAATCCGCTTCTATCTGGAAAAGAGAAAGGTTGGGAGGATGTGAAATTTTATCAGATGCCTCAAAGTACAAGTTCTGAATCCCTGGGGTATGGGAGGACACGTACTTTATGGGAAGCCAACTTTATTGAACCCAGTAGACAATAACCTCACTTGACATCATGAAGGTCATTTTTCTCACTCGTTAACATCCACAGCAGATGCTAATCTGCCATAATGTCCCCAAAACATTATTCCACTGATCAATAGCTTAAATAGATGAAATCAATTTGGCTGTCTTACATAAATTCTAGCCTAAATGTAACTTTTCTGTTTTATAAAACAACAACAAAAAGCAGTTGTTACAATAGCTTTATTCTCCCATTTTCCTGATGCTAAAAGTACCCCGAGGCAGGTGTGGTGGTTCACACCTATAATCCCAGCACTTGAGAGACTGAGGCAGGAAGGGAGAGACTGAGCCTGCATGAGCTACACAGTAAAAACTATCTGGAAAATACTGTGATATAATAAAAGAGTAATGCATGATCAGTGCAGAAACTGAAGAGTATAAATTACAAAGAAGACATTTTAAAATTCAGCAGATACCACTGTTAACAGTGAGGTCTAGTCTAGCCTTTTGCTTGTTTTTGCCTAAGCAACATAAAGTACACTTCATGTGAAGTTCTGGGGCCTGCTTTAAGTAAATATTAACATAGAAGCATTTCCCTCCCATTGGAAACTGAGTCTTGATGGCAATTGACAATTTTTTTTTCTGGTGCCAGTCTTGAATCTTCCATTATCTTGAGTCCCCACATTTCCCTGGCCTCCTCGTGTCCCTTCCAAATGGTTCCCAGTCCATCTTTGCCATGAATTCCCTGCCTATCTTTAAATGCATGCTCCCCCAAATCTCTTTCCTTGGTGTGGTGGGATTCACACAGAAGCTTCCTGCAGAATGCCATTCGGTCTTAGAATCTGAGATACCCTTTATAAACTAAGCCTCAAATCTGCCTCCAGCCTCCATCTTTCTACCCAAACGAGGTTCCTATATTTAAGAGGTAAAAACCCCAAAATCCCATGCAGTACCTAACAATCAAACGTACAGGGAACACCTCAGCCTCAGCTGACTACTCTGAACCCATGCCCATCTACGGTCCCTCCTACTTGGCGATGCCGACACTCTTTCCCTGCCAGCATAGCCTGTCTTACTGCCACAAAGGGCTCTTAGATGCTTCGCAGGACATTAGCCAAGCTTCTCTAGTCTAAATCACACCTATATAGCTGCCCCCACCTTGCCCCTCTTTCTATTTGTAAAATATCTTCTCTGTCTTCATGTCTATCAGCTTTCTAAGATCTACACAAAAAAACAGAAATTGCTTCAAAGCAGAAACGGTGTTTACATCTTTACATCCCCAGCAACTAGCAAGCACTCTTTTTTTTTTTTTTTTTTTTTTGGTTTTTCGAGACAGGGTTTCTCTGTGGCTTTGGAAGCTGTCCTGGAACTCACTTTGTAGACCAGGCTGGCCTCGAACTCACAGAGATCCGCCTGCCTCTGCCTCCCGAGTGCTGGGATTAAAGGAGTGCGCCACCAACGCCCGGCCTGCGCCACCAACGCCCGGCCGCAAGCACTCTTATTAGACTTAATAAATTTCATTCTGCAAACATCAATGTATAAATGACTTACTATTTAAGTTCTTTGTGAAATGCTATTGTAGTGTGATGGTTGTTTAAAATAACAATTCATAGTTAATTCTTCAAAATCACATTCTCTGTGATAAGAACTTTTTACATTTCTCATTTAATTTGCTGACTTACAATCAGTGTTTTATTTGTTCAAACACAGTATTATTACAAAATTTAAACTATAAGATGGTATACATTGGAGACTGGAGAGATGGCCCAGTGGTAAAGCACATGGGCTGCTCTTACAAAGGGACCTGGGTTCAATTCCCAGCACCTACATGGCAGCTGTAATTTCAGTTCCGGGGGATCCAACGTCCTCACACAGACATACATGTAAGCAAAACACCAATGTACATAAAATAAAGATAATTTTTTAAAAGAAGCTACACATGGAGCATTTCCTCTCTGATAAAAAGCTTATTGTATATATGGTTGGCAGATGTATAGGTGATTTGCTATGATCCTGCTTGATTGTTTACTGACCTGTAACCAGTTACATATGCCATTTGCCAAAAAATAAAATGTAAGGACCAGTAAGGTGTCTCAGCAGGTAAAAAGCACTTTCTGTCATGCCTGGTGACCTGAGTTATCCCGGGGACTCACATAGTTGAAGAAAAGAACAGACTCCCATAAGTTGTCCTCTGATCTCCGCAGACTCCCCCACATATACCCACTCACACAGATAATTCTTTAAAAAATAAAAAATGTAAACTCTCAATGCAAACTATAAGTCATTAGATTTCATCAAGTGCATGTACATGACCACACCGCTGTACTTGTCATTTAATTTTTCACATATTCTACAGTTAAAATAGACTCCAGGGGAATAAAAAGCAAAATGAGATAAGTTATCTTTCCAAGTGATCCAAGTTAAATACAACGCTTTAAAACATTCAGCCTTTCCAGGTCATCTGCCTTGGAACTCCAGCGTGAAATGATTGCAGGTTCGCGGGGCAGCTGCAATTTCAGAGCCCATCCAGGCTAGCACTCTGAACTCATAACTTGCGGTTCAGGAGCTGAGCAACTCCAACCTTCGGAATCCCACAAGCTGTCTGCAAAGTGTGTGTGTGTGTGTGTGTGTGTGTGTGTGTGTGTGTGTGTGTGTGTGTGTGTGGTGGGGGCACAGAATATATTTACTGTGGTGTTGTAGTGCACTCAAGCATATGGAAGAGTAAACAAGTGTGATACCATAGAGTCCCTGGCTACACTGACTCCTGAGGAACAGGAGAGCCCTAGCTGTCAGTTCTGGGGAAAGGGAGAACATTCTAGGCAGAGAAGTGCTGCTTCTGCTTGATGGTTGCAGTTTACTCTTTTCAATTTGGACAGTGTCTCTATTCTGCTTAGTTCCGGTTCGGCAGCTTAACAAGAATGGATCGGTCTCTTGACTGCTTGTAACAGGCAAGCAGAACAGCACAAAGACGGGTAAGCAGGAAACTGTCTACTAAAATAGGACATTGTGGGTCAGCTGTGGTCCGATCACCATGGAGGTGCGCAGCCCTTTCTGGAGAGTAGCAGCCACAATGTTTCAAATGCACCCTCCACAAAGCAGTGTAGAAAGAAGGTAAGAATCAGAGGAAGTTGGGGTGGTGAGATGTCATGCTGATTTCTGAGCAAGACATGATTTCTGCACTCTTGAATTCACCACAGCTGTGATTACCTGTACAAGACTGGGCCTGTCAACACTCTGCCAGGGAAGGGGGGAGAGGCTCATGGGACCCCACCCTCCCTGATTATTTATTTATACAGAGTTAACAGTTGGCAAGGAAAGAGAGAGACATTTTCTTCAGTAGTGTAGACCCTGGTAAGGCACTCATATCCTTGTAAACAAACTCTTAACCAATGTTCCCATAAATAACCCTAATGAAACTCACTGGGCCTCTCTCTCTCTCTCTCTCTCTCAGAAAAAAAGGCAATAAAAAATCAAATGGATATATCCTGAGTCTTAGCTTACCAACTAGATTTCTATGAATTTTGTTATTTTTGTTTGTCATTGTCTTAAAATGTTATCTAATCATATAGTACAAATTGGCCTTGAACTCCTGATCTCTCTGCCTCAGGCTCCCAAATACTGCAATTACATATTCACTATATATATATATATGTATATATATATGTGTGTGTGTATGTACATATGTATGTATATCTATATATTCCACAAAGACATAAACTCTGTGTTGTGTGTGTTTAGACGTAAAAGGATGCTCACTTCAACAATGCTTGCAGGAACTGAAATTAATTCAAACAACAACAAAAGGTAAATGAGCTAAAGAGACTACTATGCAACTATTTTTTTTAGGTGACAATGGTGTGTGCTTTGGAGTTGTTGCAAATATGACATGTTAAATGAATGTTAAAATAAAACAAGTATGCAACTAATATTTTCAATAGAAGGCTATGACTACACATGTATGTAGAATAATACAGAAGAAACTGGTTATCTCCTGGTAGGTGGGACCCTAGTCTAGTGGAAAGAAAAGGGATTTTGTAGACTGTATGGATGCATTACTTTTAACCATTAAAGAAAACCACCAGAAACTCTACTACACATATCAGCTAGTAGGTGAATTCTTCCTATTACAACACCACTCCGCCTCCCTGCCTATCCTCTGCCATCCCATATTTCTTACTAAATTTAGGAGACTCGAGATGTTTTGTAGGCTCCATTGGCACAGATCTCCAATTCATACCCGAGTTGGACCTTTCGGGAGCGGACATTAAACACTGGAGACATCTTAGGAAGGGCTTATAAATCAGTAATTTGCTCTCCAGATGTCAGAAAGAAGTCCCATCCAGTTTTCTTAGGACTCATTTCTATAGCATTATCTACCCCATCCAAAGACGGGAGAAAAGAGAGGAAAGAAGATTAAAGAGAAGGAAAAGAAGGGGGGGAAGAGATAAAATTCTAACCTTGGAGGGTTTGTATCCAAACAGCATTACAATAGCAACCTTAAAGTCCTCCCGGCTCAAGTGGCCTTTGCTGTCTTCGTCACATGCTTTAAATACCTAAGGAATATTAGGCACTGACAATTAGCCAGAAACCAGAAGCACAAGCATCTAAAACTCGATCTGGCTGTAATCTTTCATTACCCTAGTTTTAAATCTCAAGCAACACAAATGTTGAGATAAGGTCGTCTCTCTGGCCCCCACCCCCAAAGTTAAGCGTCTTGATCTCTACACTAACAAATCAATTTCTCTAAGCCACTGAAATAAACCACGCAAAAGCTCAGTCCTGGGATTCGGAAGGTGATGCAAAGAGGGTGGGTGCGGTGGGCATGGAAGTAATCAGAGTCCTGCAGCTATGACTTGGCTTTAAGCAAGGTTCTTTTCAGAGCCGATTAGAACCCAAGATAGGTGACAAAAGTGGCCCTGGTCAAAGTGAGTCTGAACTCGGGTAGCTCTCCTACACCTACTTCCACCCATTTCCTGCGTTCCGAGGCGCTAGTTTCGCGTGCCTGCGGCCTGGCTCCTGCCACTGACGGGAACATCGCCACCAACAAGCACACCGAGAGCGCCCAGAGCAACCCGGGCAGCTCAGCTTCTCCAGGGAGAGCACCAACAGCCCGCCGCGGCCACGCCCACCACCGCTGGGACTCAACTTCGCCGCGCAACTCCAACGTCCCCTCCCATTGGCCAGCCCCCGAGCCACGGGTGTTGATTTCGTAATGTCATTGGTCGAAGGCGCTGTTTAACATAGGGGAGGCTATCAAGGCCCGCCCCCAGCGCTTAGTTCTATCCCTCCTCAGTTTTCTTGTCTCCTTCAACTCCGTTGAGGGAGATCCGGTGACTCTAGGTTTCTTTTCTAACGTCTTCTGATTGCTTTCAGGTTTTCTTCCAAACTTGCAATAACTCACTTTGGTCATTTTTGACCCACGTCTTTTCTAGAATTTGCAGGAGACACAAGAAGAATGTGAAGCGCACACACACACACACACACACACACACACACACACACACACACACACACACACACAGAAACTCCAAGGTACACTTCTAAATCAAGTCATTGCACGGCGTTCTCAGGGCAGCCACTATGCTTATTTTCGCTCTCTTAGTAACCCTAGCATTTAACTCTGTCTAGGACAATTAAACGAAATGTGACCCGTTAGAGTGTTTGCATAGAATTTGCAACCCTCGGGAAGCAATGAGGCTGATTCAAGGAAGGACACAAGAATCCCACAGCGTGGACTAAAGCGCCGTTTTCCAGGCTGGCTTAGACTCCTCTACCCTTCTGGCAGATCGCTGAGATTGACAAGAACACGCCCGTTTCAAAGGAGAGTCGTTAGAAGCTCTGAGTTTTATGGGAAATCATTTAGATACCCTGCGGAGAGCGAGGAGCTGAGTTTCCCGTGGCTCGCACTCTTCCCTTTTCTAGGTCTCACGTGAATGGGGCGGTCTTTAGGACCCAGCGGCGTGCTTCCGGAAGTGGAAGCTGCCCGACGGCTGGGCCGCGGGGCCGGCGGGTTTGAACCACGCGCATGCGCGGGCGCGCCGCGGGGGCGGGGTCTCGGCGGCGGAGGACTGGCGGGTCAGGTAGGTGTCTGCGGCTGTGGGCGCCGTCTCGGGGCGGTCTCTGGCGGCGGCGGTAACTCTGCGCCCGCCCTCCTCATGGCGGCTCGCCGGCGGCTGAGATCCGATGGGGTAGTTGGCAGGCCTGCAGGGCTCGGGGCGGACCTCGAGGAGAGCGTCGAGGCCGGGGACCTTGGGCACGGTCCCCTTCTCCTGGAGCCCGGGATCCTGCAGCCTTTGCCCCCGGGGCGCTCTGCAAAGGCGAGGGGCTCCCCACGGGGCAGGCTCTGAACCTCCCTCCCCTCAGTTTCCACACCAGGGGGACGACCGTGAAATAGGGCTTGTCTGTACCCTTGGAGTTGTGTCTGGGCAGAGCTGAGCGCCCGGGAAAGTTGACAGCTTCACGATTTGCTTTCTCCATGGCGATCACCTTAAGCAGCCGGTACCCTCGCTCTTCGGAAGCGTCTTTATTGCCACGTGTCCACAGAATTGTACGGGATATACGCATTTTAAAAGGTTAATTGGGCCAAGGCACTCCTTCTAAAACACAGAGTGGGAGACCCATTGTTTTTCGAATAAAATTCGGCTTTTGACAGCTTGACCTCTCTTTCCCATTCCTTTCTTTCTGGGCCAATCCTATATTACAGTTAGAATCCCTGTTACCACCTCCTGGCCCATTGCAAGTTAGGTTCCATCTGTCTGGAATGGTGTTCACCTGTCTTTCAGCCCGCTGATTTCTTTTCCTCGTCGGGTCTCACATGCTGCCCCAGAAATGATTCCAAAGAAAGGTTATCCCTGTAAAATGGAATGAGCATCTAATCATCTTGACTTGTAGATTTTTTAAAATGTGTTAATTTGTGCCTTTCTCCCTGAAATTAAACTTGCCTAGGATAGAAGCTATATGTTGTTAACTCTTTATTCTCAGTTCTTAATTCTGCTTGCTACTGGACTCAGAGGCAGGACCTCCATGGAGGAGTCTGGTGTCCAGCTAGGTCTCAAAGGTTTGAGGAGCAGTGTGTAAACTAGTGGAAATATCCCACAGGGTCTGCTCAGCTGGGGGTAGAGAAAGCGAAGTTCTGCATCAACTTTGTGTGTGTGTGTGTGTGTGTGTGTGTGTGTGTGTGTGTGTGTGTGTGTGTGCGCGCGCGCAAGTTGAGTGCCTCCCAGACTCTTGCTCTCTGCCCCATTCTGTTGAATCAGGGTCTCTTACTGAACTGCTTGTCTCTGCCACAATGTTGGAGTTACAGGTACAGGAGTCATTTTGGGCTTGATGGGGATTGCAGACCCTCTTACCCACTGAGCCAAATCTCATGAACTTTTTTTTGTAAGTCTCTGAAGACAGTCTGAGTTACTGTCTAGTGAAAGAATTTCATAAGATTTGTTTTTCATCTTGGTGCACTGCTTGCCAAGTTGCATTGCCTCCCCTGCCTCCCTAGCTTTTATTTATTCTCTTTATACATATGCTTTTATCTGCTTAATATTTAATTGGATCCACTCCTATGTAAATACTGTCTTTTACAAAGTAGACTTTATCTTGCCGTTGTAGCTGATTTCTGCTGACAGGGAAACAAGTGTTACAGGTGCTTGTAGAAGAGCCCAGGGCCCACCACTGTAATTCAAAAGCACAAATGCAAAGCATCTTTTCCACACTACAGCTTTCCCCTTGATTTAAGCTGAGACTGAATTGGGACGGGAAGGGAGGGGCAGGTCCCAGCTGCCTCCACTAGAGGAAACTCTGCTGCTCTGAATCTGTGCTGGGACTTGGATAGGAAGAGGGTACCTGTCTTGTCAGCCTCGTTCTTTGTCATCACTTACTGCAGCCCTGACTTTGCCCTTCTGCTATCCTGGGCACCGCCTGGTAAACCACAGAGAGAAAATCACTGGGAGTCTGTCAGGCTGGGCCTTGGGAGCTTTTGAGAGGTTTCTAAAGGAACCTGGTCCTGCATGGGGGAGCAGTAAAATGTGACGCTGACCAGATCCAGTCCTCCCGAATTAGAAGTCATTTCCTGCATGATGGTGACATTTACATCACAGCAGCCCCTCTTCAGCAGGCCAAGGACCTTGTTTTCATAATGAGGTTGGTAACCTGGTGGACAGAATGACAAGGTACAATTTCATTAGTGTGTCACAAAGGGTATTGCCCGCAGTGGTAAACAGCCCTCCAGCATAGTACTGAATGTCAGCAATCTCCAAACTTCAACTGCATGTAGTGTTTTGATTTCTGAGAAATGTCTTTTTCAAAGATTTGTTTGTTTTATTTACCATCTTGTTCTATGCAATTGGTAGGGATGTCAACCCCCCCCACACACACACCAGCCATCGTGTGGTTCTAGAAAATGTAGACAACACTAAAACCCCGAGAAACTGTCCACAGAGTTTGGAATCTCTAGAGAGACTCTACTGACAGTTCTCAAGGTCCAAGATTCCGATTTATTGATACAGGCCGTGGTCTTTGTGTCTACCTGGGGAAGACTTTGGTGAACATCTCTTTGGATTCTGCAAACTGTGCTCCTTGCAGCAACCAACATGTAAATGATAAAGATCAGCATGGTGTGTGTGCAAGGATGGGACAAATTTGTGAACTTACTCATATATTGGAAAGGGAGAAAAGACCGAGGGTTGGTGGTACACACCTATAACCCCAGCACCGGAGCTGGGGCAGGAAGGGTAGGTGTTCACAGCAAATCTGGGTGGCGGGGAGCTAACAGGAATCTATAAACAGCTCCTTTCTCAGGCTGGAAGCAGAACCATTTCTCACAGCAGTTCTGAAACTTGCTCATTGTTTTAAGAAGGAGACTCAACGTAGAGAGAAAGTTCCAGTATTTAATTTATTTAACTTCATTTTTTATTTTGAGCAGTCCTGGGGATGGAGTCCCCAGCTACTTCTAAGTACTTTTAAGGGTTTTGGTTTTGTTTTTAGGTGTGAGTATGTGTGTTTGCATTTGTGTATTGTTCATGTTTCTTTGATGGTATGCATGTGCATATGGAGGCCAGAAGACAGCGTCATTCCTCAGTCTGCCTTTATTTGTTTGGAGTTTTTAAATTTTAATTAAAATTTTAAATTAGCACTGAATGTTGATGGCGCACGCCTTTGATACCTGTTCTCGGGAAGCAGAGGCAGGTGAATCTCTGAGTTCGAGACCAGTCTGGTCTACAAGAGCTAGTTTTAAGACAGCCTCCAAAGCCACAGAGAAATCCTGTCTTGGAAAAAGATATTTTTAAATTAGTATGCAAAGTATCATGTCATTTGCAAAGTGTGTTTTTAGTAGATCAGCCCTGCCCCATCCTGTCTCTGTGATTTCAGGTGTCTTTTTTACCCTCGTTTCCCGTGTTCCCTCAGCACCTCTTACCCTCTCTTCTACTCCTTTCTAGCTCTTAGGTTTTACCCACATTCACATCCATTTATACTCATACACACAAAGAAAACCTACATTCATGTGAGAGAGAACACATGGCTTTTGATTTTCTGAGTTTGAGTCACCTCATTTAATATAATATTGACCAGATCCGTCTACTTTCCGGAAATTTTCGTAATTTCATTTTTCTTTACAGCTGAGTAAAATGTCAGTGAGTGTGTGTGTGTGTGTGCGCGTGCGCGTGCGAGCGTGTTTGTGCCACACCTCCGTTCTCCATTCACCTACCGATGGGTGTCTAAGCCGGTTCCATTTCTTTTCTGTTGTCTGTAGAGGGGTGGATACAGGTGGTTTGGGTTTGTGGTTCTTGTTTTCTGACTGGTTGCTTTCACTGCCTTGCAACTCACCAGGGAGCCTAGCTAAACCGGCTAGCCACTGACCCCTGAGGGTCCACCTGTCCCTTGTAATCTCAAGTCTTTGCTACAGAAATAGATACATCTGACAACCCACCCAGGTTAAAGGCAGGGTGTCTAGACAGATGGCTCAGCAATTGAGTATGTACTACTCCTTAGAGATCTGAACTCGGTTCCCATCATCCGTGTAGGGGTAACTTACAACCACCTGTAACTAACTCTAGGGGGATCCAAAGCCGTCTTCTGGTTACCTGGGGTACCAACACTCATTGTAGACGCAGGCATTCACAAAATTAAAAA